TTACATTAGGCTAAGCAGGAGACTTATTCCTAAGAACTACAGGAAAGCTTGAATTGTGACTAAAATAACTTTCAGAGATTTTTCACATAAAACAAATGGACATAACTCCTTTAACTTTCAAGTACATGCATCCATTTACATATGCTACGGGTGAACCCTCCCCCTCTGAACCTCACTGAATCAGGCCAGAAGGGCAATGAAGCTGGTGAGGGGTCTGGAGCACAAGTCTTGTGCTCCAGAGCACAAGAGGAGCGGCTTGTGAGGAGCGGCTGAGGGAACTGGAGTCATTCAGCCTGCAGAAAAGGAGGCTGCGGGGACACCTTATCACTCCCTACAACTACCTGAAAGGAGGTTGTAGCAAGGTGGGGGTCAGTCTCTTCTCCCAAGTAACAAGTGATAGGACGAGGAAACAGTCTCAAGTTACGCCAGGGGAGGTTTAGATTGGATATTAGGAAAAATTTCTTCACCAAAAGGTTTATCAAGCATTGGAACAGGCTGCCCTGGGAAGTGGAGGAATCACCATCCCTGGAGGTATTTAAAAGATGGGTAGAAGTAGTGCTGAGGGACACGGTTTAGTGGTGGTTTTGGCAGTGCTAGGTTAATGGTTGGACTCGATGATCTTAAAAGTCCCTTCCAACCTAGACAATTCTATGATAAACTTACACCTAACTTTAAATTTGTGAATACTCTCATGGACATACCTTGGTCTACTGATAAATTTACAATTTCATATGCACACGCTTTAAAAGTTTTACTTAAGTCACTCTGAATTTTCCAGTGCTCCAACTTTTCTGATTTCCTAATGATACTTTTTTTAAAAAAAAAATATTTTTAAAGCAACTTAGAAACTGATAAAGATTCAAGGAGCCACAATATTTTGCCTTATAGCCAGTACCATTCATGTATATACAAATTAGAAATATAGCGTGGCAAGGATTTCATTTTGCATAAGATGAAAGAAAAAGCTATTTGCAAAACAAGCTCTATTTCACTGTGATGTCTTTATAGCACACGGCATGGCTACTTTACCGCTTTTATGCAGTACATAACACTGCATACTAATAACACAGCGAGCTGAAAGCATACAGTAAGACCTCTTTTTTCCACAATACATGCAGATACTTCTAATAGGTGTACGAGGTATTTGCAGTGGTTTTAATTTTCTACCTCTCAGTCAGATTCCAACACATCTAGGAAGCCTAAACTGCCCTTGCTCCTCTGCATCTGTGTTAAACTGAGTGGCAATGCTGGGCACCACTAACATGTTCTAACAGTGTTTTTTCATTTGAATAGTAACCTTATATTCACTTGTCAGGTCTAGAATGAAAAACATCAATATAAAACTATTTATTAATTAAAGTTTTCAGTCACCCACCACAAATCAGCCGTCTTACCCAGCACTATACCAGTTCCCTCCCCTCCACAGCGCTCGCTGTCTGGTCAGACTACTTATCACTGCTACTGATGATTATTTTTCGTAATTTTTCACAACAGGCCACATGGGTAAAGCAGCTGATTACAGCTTCACCTTTTGCACCTCAGTGGCAATCCCAGTCTTCCCCTCCCCAGATCCTTAATTACTGTTCCTCTTCATAGCTCCCAAAGCCCACGGTTATTATTTTGGTTTGAGCAGCACCCACGCTATGCTTCAAAGACACATTCCTGTTCAAAAAAATTTATAATCTATATAATGGATTTTCACACTTGAACTCCAAACATGTATTAAAAATTTACGATGTCCTGCACTTCTGACCCCCAACATTCAGCCCAGAAGTGTTTTCACAACCATAAGTGACATTACAAGGTAATACATGCGAATTTGGGGAGGGAGATGAGAAGAGCACAAATCAAGTCTTTTTTTTTTTTTTTCTTCCCACAGACAATTCTGCTACCACCACTATTAAAACTAATCATAAATAAAAAACATTGAACCCAGAGAAATGTTTGTAGGTACGAGGTGTCCGGAGGTTTGGCAGCCACACGCTGGGATGTATTTTCACCCTTGCAAGGCACTGGCACATGGCACCACCCGAGCAAGAGTTTGCTCCACATCACCCACCAAGGCTCTGCGACAGGCGTCTTCAGCAGAAAAGGCAAACCAAGACAGACATCCAAGAGATGAGAAGCACAACGCACCTCTTGGAGGTGCCTGTTGCTCTCCCACAACTATAAAGGAAGCCTCAGTAATTAGCTTAGAATAAACACCTGTCTTTTTGGCAGCTAAAAATAGTTGAGACAAAAGCCAGCCTTTACCTATGTCTTCTTGTCTAGAAAACTAATCACGTTCACTTTGGATGGAGCACCAAGTTAAATCACTGGGATGTAAAGCACTTGGGTAACAGTTTCCTACCAGGGAGTTCAGCACTTGTTTCAAGAACAACCTTTTGGTAAGAAAACAAGGCAAAATTAGAGATTCCGAGTGAAATGGGGCTATTTATGGAGTAGTCAAAATAACTCATATCACTACTGAGAATGTAAACTCTCAGGGGAAGGAACCATCTTTTTCTTCTGCATTTGTGTGGTATCCTGCCTAGATGGGGGCTGTCAACTCCAAGATGCAGTCACATTACACATAATAAATAATGCATTCAATGCTGTCTTTTCTACCTCAATTCTTTTTGCTCCAAAATTCCTCTAGCCACCCCAGCTTCACCCCACAAGAAGATGGGAAAAGTTACTAAAGACAGACATCTCCAAAAAGCATGTATACCCACAGCTCTCTCCTGGGTTAATCTTAAACCTAAACCCTGTCTCCAACTTCAGGAAAGAATAGCCAAAATAAAAAAATAACTAAACAAATCAAGAAGACTTTTCTAATGGGAAAGGAAGTTCAGACTTGACAATGAATAGAAATCGGGGAATCCCCATCTTTGCAAAATTGTAAGATGAGGCGAGATGAGCATTGGACAAGAATGTCCTGCAGTGGATGCTGTCCAAGGCAAGGGCTAGACTATCCAGTTCCTGAAATGCCTCCAATCCCATTTCCTCCGACACCTGTGATTCCTCTGGGGAAAAGTGTAGGGGAAGCACTTTCTGCCTCACCCACCCAAATAGCTTCATCAGACACAAGGCTCTTAATAATACAAAAGGCAGTAGGAGAATTCATACAGACACAGAAAGCACAATCTGGGCAGAGAAACGCAACAGAGTCATTTGGAGTTAAATTAATTTAAAAAAAAAAAAATTAAAAAAAAAAAAGAAAGAAAGGAAACAACCGAAGCCTAGCTTCTCTCCAAAAACTGCTTCTAAATCTAAACTGTCTTTGCAGATGACTGGATTACATCCAAGCTGCCTCCAACACTCACAGTCTAACAGTGTTTGTCCTTTCATTAAAGGTCACTGTTTTCCAGGCTACTGAGTTTCTTTGCACATTTCTAGATCACACTTAAGCTCTGTTGCATTATACACATTTTTCCTTCACAGGGGTTAAATGAGGCAACTTAGTTTTATCTTAGAACAATGCAGTGGTTAGGGAAAACCACATCTATCAGTCAGCACGGTTAAGCAGGAAGAAATCTGGAGCTGGCTGTTAGTGAATTATTTACGACAAGAATAAGGTCAGACAAGGAATGAGAAGAGAAATGGAAATACTTTGGCTTCCAAAGACTGCAGGCTTCTTAACCCTCTAGCTTTCCCATTTTTTTCTACATTTCTGTGATATACACAGAATTTAAAAGATAATTAAAAGGTAACTTCCTATGCCTTACATTGTCAAAACTGATCCCTAATGCATGGACAGCAGCATTTCAGAGAAAAGCACTCACAGCAGTAGTTCCTCATAAACTATGAAGAGCTGAATGCACCATTTGTTTCCCTTTTCTCAAGGTAAAATCATCAGAGGGAGATCTGACATCAGTGAAGATTCACTGGATTTAAATGGGGACCCCTCAGAAGTGGGATGTGTGTCCATTCACAAATTTCCATATGAGAGAGAAGCATGGAAGGGAGGAATCACGTCTCCGAGCTTTTTCTGGAAGGAAACACAACAGCCACCCTGTGAAAGTAATGTTATACAGCAGGACTCTCAAATATTTCTCTCTGATGATCTTGGAGCTCAACCAGCTGAAGCTACCAAGCAATATTAGGTAGTCTTTATATACAACCGCACATAAGGCATTACGTTAAATTTAAAGCCACCTAGCACCAACATACCTGGTCTTGTGAGATCTGCTACAACATCTTTAAGTGAAAACCATGACTTCTGTGCATACACATTTCATCATCACTCACATTCCTCTGCTCACTACTATACAAAAACGGTTTAGCAATAAATCTTAGTCAAAATCAGTCACTAAATCCTTCTTCTTAGCACGGTTCCATAGATAGTTACGAATCTGTAATGAACTTGCTTTTAATGGTAATGTGCAGCTCTATAAAGCATCTTCATTTCCCACAAGAGTTCTTAAAATATATGCAGAATACAGGACATCGACATCAATGCTTAAAATCCAAGTGCAATGACATTTACAGCCATGTGGCTCTGAAGCAACCTTCTGAACACCCTCCTTTACAGCAAACTGTTCTGCAGCGCATCTAACCTGAAGATTAATGCTCTCCATCACAGTCTACCAACAGCATCTGCTGAACTGAAACACAGCCTTAGAAGTTCAGTGCTAGACTTGAGGGTCAAATTAATCTTTGAGATAATCCCACGAAGCTCCCAGAGTTTCATGTGTAACAAACTTGGTCTTTTATGTTTTTCTAAAGGGGTCACCAGGTATGTGACAGCCAAATAACATCACCTGCATATGTGAAGCTAAAATAGGTGCAAAAACATCTGGGGAAAGGACCTCACCATCCGAGATAAGAAAGCAAATTCCTTGTGACATCTGACAGAACATTGTTCAAAGCTCTTTTTCAGCTCTTGAAACATGGTTTAGAACACCATTAGCTGATCCCCACTAAGATAAATATGTATACATCTCAGATTTTGTCTTTATCTCTCTGTATATCCACACACATGTAAACAAAACTCAAGGATCTGAATTATCTCTACTTACTAGACAAGCCTGAGGCAGGAAGCTGTTCACTCTGGAGATACTCCACATGCCCTCGAGGTACTGCTGAGCTTGGATGGTGACCGAGCTGAGAGCACCGCTGAGACCGCTGGGGGCCACCGTGACTTGAACGCTGGAGTTCGGAAAACTGCCTGCGCCTTGAGACCATCCAAGTCCCTTCTTCCGCTCTGCCCCAGAGAAGAGATTCGGCGACTTTCCAGGCTGCCTGCCCACCTGCCCAGCAATGAGCGGCAGGTCTCTCTGGGAAGAGACCGTGACCATCCTGGGTACCATGCTGGTCACTGCCCCGGTGCCGGGCGGGAGGTCAGGCATTTCTGGGTAGCTGGCTTGATTGAGAGTGTGCATCATCTGAATGGCTTCCTGCTTCAGCTGATTCAAGTGAGTGGCACAAGTTTCGCATCTGCTCTCTCCTTCATTCCTGTTTTTCTGCAAATAGTCAGGCACTTGAAGCTTGTCAAAAATTAAAGCTGATAATCGTGGGTCCTAAAAAAAAAGGGGGGGGGGGGCAGAAAAAACATAGTGAGTTAAAACAATGCAGAAAGAGAAAAGGGAAGAAAAAGACAGAAGTTCTCTCTGACTTGCTCCCCACCCATGGAAGTACTTTAAATCTATTCTGGTAACTCTCAGCCTTTTTTTCCCCCCAAAATACCTTAAAAGAATCACAGGTCACAGCGGACTAATAAACCATAAGTGAATTCATTTGTATTAGATCCAGCATGAAAATTATCATCAGAATTAAACAGTGGAGCTGTGGTGTACTTGATAACTATTCATTCTTCTAATTAACTCTCCTTTGGAGACATCTAATGTGCCCATGTTTTCCATGCTCAGGAACAATGTTAGTTGAGATGCTGAACCTACAAATATCACAATGTGTTTCAAAGGCATACCACCACCTTAAACCTAGGAAAATTAGACTTTAAAGTATTTTTAAAAATTAACACGTGACCTGGTAAATGTTTTGTTGTCCTCACCCTCAGAAATGATTAATCAAGTGGCATAAAAAACAGTTTATATGGTGCTGCCCACAGCTGGCTCCTCTGCTAGCGAGGACCGTTATTTCTGATCTTTGCAACCCAGATGGTCGCAATATTCCCTTACGCTACAGCTGCTTTGATGAGAAATAGATTTGAGCCTACAGCCATGTGTGAAGGTGTGACAATGTGCACACTAAGAAGCTGATTTAAAAGCAACACCTATTTTGTTTCCACAGAGCAATTTTCCCTCTCCTCCCCCTCGCTAGTTAGTTTAAAGGCTGCCCAGACATTTTAAAACCCAGCTCTGTGTTTCCAGTTCAGAGATAGAGTTACCTATCTCCTGAAACACACAAACACCTTCCCATCCCAAGGCTGCTACCGTAAAGATTACTCAAGAGATTAAACCCAGCCCTGCTGTAAACCTGCTAGCAAGAGTAATGCCATGCAGTAAAACTGACCCAACTTCACACACTCTCGTTGAGCTCTCTAAACAATTAAGGTTTTAATGAAATCGCAGCACAGCCAAAGGTTTATTTGTATAATTATTTCAAGTGAAAATATTTAATTTGCTTGTTAATAATGAGGGCACACAAAGCTAGTAAGTTAGCCATCCAACATATGCTAGGGGTATCCCCAGATCAGTACTCATTTTTAAAAATGTATTACTTTATGCCAAGCTGCAATTGCTCTCCAGGAAATGAATGTCCTGTTAGAAAACTAACTAATTCTGGTTTTAATTACAACACACATCAATAAAAGTCTTTTAAGAAGTCTTGGCACTGGTACTTTGGCTTTCCTCATTATTCTCTTTCAACTGCACTATTTCCCTTTTCTCTGAATTCACAAAGTCCTAAAACGCTGACTAACTTCTGCAGCAGTAGCCCAGAATTTATCTCCTTTTCAGCTGCTGGACTACTCCTGCAATAGTTTTTAATCTATCTCACATTACACAGTACGATGTTGATAGGAACCATTGTAAGCCTATCTAGCATCACGTCATTCCACAGCCAAAAGCCATTAACCAAAGTTGCTTTTTCCACCATAATCTAAATCATTGTTTATTTACTGACTTGGGGAAAAAAAAAAAAAGGGGGGGGGAGGGGAATGCATCATTACTGCGATTATTGATAATGTTGTCATTGTTTTTAGGCCGTGAGAAGACAAAAGAGTCTTGAACAGAGTATTCAGTCTGCCCAGGAGACTGACAAAACCCTCCGCTTAATCCAAGAGTCAAAACGAGGGGGGGGGGGGGGGGGTAAGGACAGCTACTCCTGCTGCTGACTTAACAATAAATTGCATTCACATTAGTGAACCAGTTTACAAAATCAAGTGAAAGACGCTGTTTCATTTTTGTCTCTTTTCTCTTTACTGAGGTTTAGATCCTGGTAAAAATGCCTTTGAAGTCGCACCATTTGCTTACCCTCATGAGCAAGAAAATTCTTTGCCTCCAAACCTCCCAGAAGACCATAATACTAAATTAACAGATATTAGTCAGAAAAAAAAAGTAATTAATATTTTAGAAACTTTTTTCCAACCCTTCAGCAGAAAGTGCTGTTGGTTAGACTTAAAAAATAAAGGCAGTGCTGCGAGCACTATTAAGCCTTAAGCAAAACAAAGGCCACGCAGTCTATCTCCCAAG